GCATATGGATTGTTTTCACTTTGGGACTATTAGGAGTAGTGCTTGGTATGTAAAACGAGAACAAGTTTTGATGAGACACATGCTAGTTTCTGTTGGCTGTATATTTAATAACGGAGTTGTTGGGTGACGTATTTACATTTTTATCATTTTTAAAGGTTGTTCTTGATGTGGACCATTTTTAAAGTCTTTATTGAATTCATTATAATATCGCTCCTGTTTTATGTTTTGGTTTTTTGGCCGTGAGGCATCTTAACTCCCCGACCAGGGACCGAACATGTACTCCCTGCATTGTAAGGCTAAGTTCTAAACACCAGACCACAAGGGAACCCCTGCATCTTTACCTTTTAGGGGCAGCGCCAAAGAGGTCTGGAAAATGCTTGGACCAATTTCTGCAGTCACAGCAGTGTAGGAGATACTCTTGGCTTACCAACATCCTTGTCAACACTTTGTTTTTTTTTTTTTTCATTTTCGACTTCTAATTGGTGTGTGATGGTTTCAAGTAGTGATTTTATTTTATTACGAAAGTGAAGAATGTTTTCACATATTTATTTATCTTTATTGGGAGACCTTTTTCTGAAGTATGTATTAATTTATTTTATGCATTTTTTCTATTGTATTGCCTTTTTCTTATTGATTTATGGTAGTTTTATATACCTGCTGGACATGATGTCATTCTTGGTTTCCTTTATCTCATGCTCTCTGTCTCTGTCTGCCTGTGTGTGTGTGTGTGTGTGGATGAGGAGGAAGTGTTAATTTTAATGTAAAAATATTTACTTCTCAATAACATTTATTAATCTGCTTAATAAAAATTTCCCCATTCTAAGACTACAAATGTTTGCCTTTGTTTTATTTTTAAATTTTTATTTAGCTTTAATATTTAGATTAGTAATCCATCCATAATTGACTTGTTGCATGTGTGGATACTGAATTATATATTTTTCTGATAAGTTAACAAATTACAATTTATTCAGATATGTGACATTATTCCTTCATCTGTTCTCACCTCTCACTGCTCATCCAGGTTAATACCATCTCACCCATGAAGTCTCTTGTTAAATTTGTCTCTTTCTGCCTCCTCCAGCCTTTTAACACCACCACAGAGGTGGTGCTAGTGGTAAAGAATCCACCTGCTAATGCAGGAGACAAAAGAGATGCAGGTTTGATCCCCTGGAGGAGGGAATCACAACTTGCTTCAGTATTCTTGCCTGGAGAATCCCATGGACAGAGGATCCTGGTGGGCTACAGTCCATGGGGTCAGAGAGTCAGACACGACTGAAGCAACTTAGCACAGCAGCACCACACAACCAAGGTCAGTTTTGGTATCAGAAATCTTCAATGAATCTTTTAGTTACTCCCAAAAGTTGAATGGGAAGGTGTACCTTATTGGGAGACAGTTCTCCATGACCCTGTCATTTTATTTTTCATGTCGTATAGCAGCTTCTGTTCTGGACTACTTTGAAAGGATTTTTATATAATCTCCTTGGAATATGGCAGTAGTGTCTGTCTTGGGCACAAGGGCAGATTCATTATCTAACTAATATAATAAACAAAATGTCTTCCTTGGAAGCAAAGGTTGATAGATGTACTTACAATCCACACTGGAAGATTAGGATATCTTATGTTCTCCATCTGTGACACATTCCCCCGCTATTGGTGTGGCATCCCCCTGGACTTCTTTGCACAACCCCTGTGGGGCTTGTGGGAACAAAAGGGACCAGGTGTGAACTTGAAGCTCTTGCTGCCTGTTGTGCCACACATAATAATGGCTTCTGTCTCAGTCCTAGGCGTTTCACGTCTCACGCCAGCATCCATGAAACTGGCAAGGTAACTTGGTTTGCAAATGGGGTAAAATCTTACACCCTTTACATTTCTTGACAATTCTGGAAATGAGGATGGGGTAGAGACTGAACCAACACAACAAACAGCCTTCATGTATTATCACAAAAGCAGAGGGAAGCTAAATAGATGAGGTAGTTGGGGGCCTATCTCAGTCTGTTTGGGCTGCTGTAATGAAATTCCAGACAGTGGGTGGTTCATAACATCAATTTATTTCTCTCAGATCACAAGGCTGAAAGTCTGAGATCTGGGTGACAGCATGGTCAGGTGAGGGCCCTCTTCTGGGCTGCAGACTTCTGGCTGTATCTTTACAAGGCAGAAGAGGGCAAGAGAGCTCGTTCAGGCCTCTTTTGAAAGGTCATTATAATCCCATTCGTGACCTAATCTCTTTCCAAAGCTCCATCTCTTAATACCATAACCTTGGGAGTTTAGTTTCAATGGAATTTTAAATTTTGAATATGAATTTTGAGTGCACACAAACAGACCATAACAGGATCCTTTGGAAAAATTCAGCATCCTGCATCAGAACATATCAGAAATTGTTGTGTGATATGCTTGTGTTTCCACATCCCACAGAGGTGACTGTTCCAGTAAGGGGAGATGCAGGTAGACAAGTGTTAGTGAGACATATTACCTTTTTACTTGCCTCCAGCAAGTGGTAAAGATTTTGATCAAGCGCCACTAACATCTGATGTACAAAGTTTTCATTATATAAGTTATATTCTCTTTGTTGGCAAGTTAGAGGCCCCAGCCTCCATAGCCTTGTCTAACTTGTCATCACATCTCTGCCAGTTGGGGTAGCCGATATAACCTGACCAAATTCAAGTCCTATTTTCCAGTGAAAGTTTAATGGGATTCTTTGGGCAGATTACCATGCTCAATCGTTCCATCAGTGAAAAGAAAAACTATTGTCTCTTGGACTCCCCATTAGCCAAAGGAGGCCCAGAACTCACTACACTCCTGGGACACGGGAGACAATGTCCTAATGATTTTGTCAGTTAATACCTCTGGCAAAGGGATGCAGCCTCCACTTAAAAGTCCCCACTGCTTTATGAACTCAGGGCCACTCTGACACTAAGAACAGGTGTACTGCTTATAAACAGCAGTAATTAGCTTGCCAATAAATACACCTCAAAACTGAAGCCTGATCTGTAGAAGCCTTGCGATTCTCGGGCTTGATGTTCCAAATCTGGGGATGAATCAACTTGGACTCCACTGCCACCAAGGTACAAAGGGCCCCCAAAGTCCTGCATCTTACGGGAATCACTTACTCGCAAATGAACCCAGACTGGCTCCAGCAGCATCCTGGCTTTATAGGAATAAGTGGCATCTATCCCTTTGGGGGAAATTTTCAGCTCTACACTATTGCCAAAGCCACTGGCACTTCCAATCCTCAGTCATCTGAGCCCTCCCTAAATGCATGGTCTGACATACACGGATGGTTTAGGCAAGCTGAAACCTAACGGTGCTCCCTGGGCCGCTGTGGTTCTGCAGTAGTAGCGCCAGTTTTGCAGAAACAGAAAACAGACACCTGGACGATTGCCAGCGCGTCCAGGTGGCAGACAGCGTTTGGTGTGCCTTGGACATACCTCTTCTAGGATGTGAACTGTGCAAACAAGCTGTTGTGCTGATAGAACTGTTTGGGTCACTGGTTGAAATACCTTTGGTCAGGGTCTTTTCTGTGAAGAGTCTGACCAGAATCAAGCTGCTGATTGCATCTATGAGCTGCAGAGGCTGCCTCTGCTTGGCACACTTGGGACTCTGGTCGGGGGGGGAGCTTTCTTGAGGTGTAACTGACAAAATTATAAGATATTTAGAGCACATCCTTAGCTAAGGAGATTTATAGCCTCCACGAGGTGGCAGAGTTGGGGTTGGGGGAAGATCCTGGGAATAAGATGTTGAAGCTGAAACTCCAATACTTTGGCCACCTGATGCGAAGAGCTGACTCATTTGAAAAGACCATGATGCTGGGAAAGATTGAGGGCAGGAGGAGAAGGGGACAACAGAGGATGAGATGGTTGGATGGCATCACCGATTCATATGGGTTTAGGTTGACTCCAGCAGTTGGTGATGGACAGGGAGGCCTGGCGTGCCTCGGTTCATGGGGTCGCAGAGTCGGACACGGCTGAGCGACTGAACTGAACTGAACTGAACTGGGAATAAGGAGGAAAAGACTGAAATATGCAACGTCTCCCCGGCTCAACCCCCGCTCCCTTTTATAAGGAGCAGTTTCCTAACTGGAGTGGGTCTTTAGCAGATTCAGCTAAGGGATACGAATTTTGAGAGAGAGGGAGGGAGGGAGAGAGACTGACTGACTACGTGGCTCTGGGGGCTTGGCCAAGACTTAAGAGAGGACGGGAAGAGGATATACGTAGAGATCTGACGATTTAATAGGAACTGCTTTCCAGATAGGACGTACAGTTTGGGTAAAGGCTTGTTGGCATGAAAAAGCATGATGTGCTCAAGCAGTTAATTTTCCAGAACTGCTGAAGAGTAAAAAGGGGAGGTGGGAGACAGGCGTTCAGGAATCAGATCCACGCCTGAGGGGCTCTGGGTTTTACCCAGAGTAAGGCAAGTCGCTACCCTTCTCGGGACCTCAGCAAAACAAGGCATAAATCAAAGACCCACTCGCTCGTTTCCCACAAAAGTTCAGGAGTCCGCTTGCCAGCAAGAGGAACTAGAGCCTCCCAGACCAAACCGGCAGATAGTTCTGGTTGCCCCGCCAATGACGTCATGCATTCCTAGCAACGCAGGCGCAGAAGAACTCGGAGAGGAGCTGGCTTAGCCACCTCCCAGTCTTGCTCTTCATTGGCTAGAAACAACTGCTCGTCTAGGCCGATGTTAGCGGCGACGTAGGCGGGCCCAATCTTGGTCGCTAAGATACCACGTACTTCCGTTTCCTCCTCCCCCTCTCCTAGGCTCCGGCAAACTTAATCTCGTCCCTTCGGCCAATGGCAAATGGGCGGTAGGCGGGACCTTATTTGTTCGCACCAAAGAAACGCAGGCTCGGCCCGGAGTATCGCGGCCAATGAATGTGGGGTAGCCCCTGTAAAGTGGCTCGGGCGTCCCCACGCCTTTCTTTCCTCCTCCCAGCCCAACCCCTCCCTATCCCGGTTTTAGCACGGCACTGGCCGCAGTCTTGACAGGAACGGGACGGGCCCAAGATGGCGGCGGCGGACGGCGACGACTCGCTCTACCCCATCGCGGTGCTCATAGACGAGCTCCGCAACGAAGATGTTCAGGTCCGGAAGCAACGGGGACTTGAGGAAGAAGGGAAAGGGGACCTGGGGGCACGGGCGTCCCTCGCGGACAAGGTTCAGTGTTCGCTGGGAGTGGCGGAAGGGGCGGTGGCCAATCAGCGTTCCGTTTTCATCTGTTATGGTACCCGGACTCGATGAGACGGCGCCCGGGATTGGGTGTCGGCCCAGCGGAGGGCGGGCGCGAAGGCGAGCTTGGAGGGTCCCGGGCCTGCCAAGTGCGCGCGGGGACCCGGGCCTACGAGGCCGCGGCTCTGGAGAGGGTCGACCGATTGGGTGCGGGAGAGGCGAAGGAACGGCTCGGTGATTGGCGGCAGCAGCCCTTGAATGGCGCCTTGGGGATGGGGTGGGCGCGTGACTTGCTCCGAGTGGGGGAGGGGCCGTCTGATTGGTGGGGGCCGGGTAGTTTTCATCCTTCAAGGTTTCAGCAGCTAAGGCTCTGCCCTGTGGGGTAAACTTTCCAAACGGAGATTGAGACGTGAAGACTGACTTTCCAATTCCTGCCCTCCCACTCTCTCCAGTTTTGGTGTAGACCCCCGAAGGGGAAGGGGGCGAAAAGCTCCCTCCCAAAGCGGGAACTGGCCAAATTCAGGTACGAATTACGAGGTAGAAACAAGCCCCCTTTCCGGGATCCTCCCGTTGAGTGGAGGGTGGGCAGTGTACTAAACGGACTAACATTTCTAATGTGTGGGAGCGGGGGTCTCAGATATCTGAGCCCAGGAGGCGAAGGGTTGAGAAGAGGTAGAGTTCTAGGGTTTGCCTATCCCAGCCCTGCCTCTCACCCGAGTGACCTTGGGCAGATTACTTCACCGATCTGGGCCTTTGTTTTCCATAAACTGGTCTAATAGTAGTCCTGGTCTCATTGGGAGGTTGTAAAGGGGCTGAACGAGTTAATAATACGAATCATATAGAACGGCCCGGTCTGTTGTAAGGGCCCAATAAATGTTAGCTCTAATTGTGGGGAGTGGTGATTGAAAGGTTTCGATCCTCCCTGTGGGCCTCAATTTCCCTATTTATAAAATTGTGCGGGTTACACTGGCCCAGCCTCAGTGGTTTGGGCTCTTATGACCGTAGTTCGGGAGTCAGAACAGCAAGGCCAGCGTGGTGGCTGCACAGTGAATGTCGAAGTGGTGGCAGATGAGGATTAATCCAGAGCTAGATCAAGTGAGGCCTATGGACCAGCAAGGCAAAGACTTTGGTGAGGTGGAGGAGCCAGTGCCAGGCTTTGCTTAGAGGAATGACATGCTGTGACTTCTCACCCTCGAATAGGGGCCAGGCAGGATCAGAGAGACCTATCTGGATGCCACTGCAGAGCAGCACCAGCATTGGCAGGATTAGGGGTATCTTGAAAAGGAGGATTGTTGAGGTTTGCTGGTGGTTTGGACGCCGTGTGGTGAGTGATGGAGGAGGAGGAGTCAGGATGACGAGCTTTGAATCCTAGCGCTCCCTGTGTGCCCTGGGCCAGTCAGTGCCTTGCCTGTTCTGGGTCCAGATTCCTCCTCTGTAAGGAATAGTGATGAGTGAGGAGGAAGCAGCATCTACCTGGTTGGGAGGTTGCAGTGGAATTGGCCCCTTAAGTGGCTGCCTCAGAGAAGGCATTCAGTGATGACCTCATTCAGTTGTCATAGCAGTTTATGGTTTTCTCTTTGGAAAGTGAGGTTCAAAGAAATTGCTTCCTTAGCCAGTAAGAAACAGTGGCTGGGTTGCATTGTCTCAGGGGTGTTTGGGGCACCACATTTCTTAAAATGTGGTCCACTGGTGGAGAGACCAGGTTTCTGTGTTACTTATACTGTCTGCTTCAGTTTTCTCACCTATGAAGTGGGAAAAGGGAATTCCCTCGTGGTCCATTGTCTGGAACTCGGCACTTTCACTGCATTGGGCTCAGAGTTCAGTCTGTGGTTGGGGAACTAGGGTCCTGCAAGCCGTGCAGTGGAGCCCCCCCCCACCCACCCAAAAGTAATACTTAGCACTTCAAAGGGATGTTTCAAGGATTAAATAGGTTAGTACAAGGAAAATGCTTAGAACAGTGCACGACATGTTTTAAGTTTTCATTAAGTTTAGTCTGCTGGTTGTGGTAAGATGAGAGCTTCATCTCTCAAAGGTGAGGTGCTTCAGGCATTTAAAAACTATTCTCTTAATGGTTACTATAGAGCAGTGGGTCTTAACAGGTTGCCACTACTGGTGGTGGGAGTGCTGCGAGCAGCAGCTAGGGAAGCTCCCCAACATCCTGCACTGCCCAGGCCATCCCTTCACAAGGGATGGTCCAGCCCCAGAGGTGGTGCCAAGGCTGAGAAACCCTGCTGTATGCCAGCCTGCTAAGTGCTTTATGTGTGTTTGTTGAGTCCTCACAGAAGACATCTGAGATAGGTGCTGGGTTTTTTTTTCCAGTAAATGATTTTTGATTGTCAGATCTCAAGCCACAGAGAAAATAGTACCAAATCCAGTTTTTAAAAAAATTTTGTCATGTTTTTTCACCTGTTTCTCATCCTCCCCCCACACACACTTTTTTTTCCCTGAAGTATTAAAAATAAAACCCACGCCCCAGATACTTTCTCCTACATACTTCATTATGCACCTCTAAAACCATGGACTTTTTTTATTTGGCTGTGCGGCACAGCATGTGGGATCTTTGTTCCCCTATAAGGGATCAGACTGCAGGGTGCCCCCTGCATTGGAAGCATGGAGTCTTAACCCCTGGACCACCAGGGATGTCCCAAAACCATGGGCATTTTAATAACCACATTGCCATTATCATACATCAGTTCAGTTCAGTCACTCAGTCGTGTCCGACTCTTTGCGACCTCATGGACTGCAGCATGTCAGGCCTCTGTGTCCATCACCAACTCCCAGAGTTTACTCAAACTCATGTCCATTGAGTTGGTGATGCCATCCAACCATCTCATCCTCTGTTGTCCCCTTCTCCTCCTGCCTTCAATATTTCCCAGCATCAGGGTCTTTTCCAATGAGTCAGTTCTTCCCATCAGGTGGCCAAAGTATTGGGAGTTTCGGCTTCAGCATCAGTCCTTCCAATGAATATTCAGGACTGATTTCCTTTAGGATAGAGTGATTAGATCTCCTTGCAGGCCAAGGGACCCTCAAGAGTCTTCTCCAACACCACAGTTCAAAAGCATCATACATAAGTTTTTACAGTGATCTTTGATGTCATCTAACAGTCGATTCATACACATAATCAGATTTTCCTGATTGTTCCGGAAGTGTCCTTTTACAGTTGGCTCCTTTAAATCAGATTCTGAATCTTCAATCTGAATGTTTGGTCATTGTCACACAACCCAATAAATACTGAAATAGCACTTAGCCAAGAGCATTGGGTTTCAGGGCAGCACTTTTCACCACCAAGCTGGGCCCTGTGGAGACAGTAGGCCAGAGGTGACACAGAGGTGGCAGTGCCATATGTGGAGGCAGACCAGGGTTTCGAGTCCTGGTCTGGCAACCTTATGAGTTACTCAACCGTCCTGGGCCTTGATTTTCTTGTTAAGTGAGAAAAAGGGTGGGAGACACACCCGGCAGGGCTGCTGTGAGGATTAAATGAGATAAACTATGTAAAGACAGCAGGTTCTTACATGGTCTGAGACATTTTGGGTGTCCACACCTTAGAAATCTGACATCACAGGCTCCGGCTTTTTTTCTGGAGTGCGTAGAGTACACGGGGGTTTGAAGCAGAGCTCAGGAATCAGGTTGTGCTCTGAGAGTTGGCGTAGGGTGATGGTGAAGAACATGGCTTCAAGATCCACGCTCTGCCGTGCCTTCTCTGGATGACCTGCATTTTTAAAGACTTGAAAAATATTTATGCTTGCGGTTTTTGATGTGCCCAGCCCTGTACTCGGTTCAGGACTCACCAGCTGATAACAGTCATGCCCCTTCCTCATCCCAGAGACAAGTTGCCTTCCAAATGGGGGAGCAGGCACCTCCATAATTATAAGGCCAGGTAAACTGCTAGGGAAGAACTCGTTTGTGCTGCAGTTTCCAAGGAGGTGGGGAGAGTACTTTTTTCCTTTCTATTTCAGGTTAGCTATTTATTTTCCCTGCTCAAGAAATAAAAATACATGAGAAATAATGATAAGAATAATGGTTAACACTTGCATGCTTGCTTCATGCCAGGCCCTGTGTCTTCCTTATTTGATTATCCCAGCAGTCCTGAGAGAGGCATTGTTGTGATAGCCATTTTACAGTGAGGAAACAAGCTCTAAGGTGCCCAGGGTTGGGCACCTTAGCTAATTGGTGAAGCCAGAATACATACTTGTTCATTCTTTACTTAAAAAAAAATTGAATGCTCCAGAAATAGAGATTGTGGTCCTCATTTCACTCTCTGGTGATGCAGAACTTTTCACACCCATCTGCCTGCACACACCCACACACATAATGTGTGTGAAATGAACATTATGTTCATTTAAAAACACAATTCTTCATGGAATGAGGTGGAAGGATGTTGGGTTTTTATAGGAGTTGAAGAGGCTCTTGTGTCACTCAGTAGGCGTCTCCGGGGCTGAGGCTTGTTCAATCAGCCACCTTGCTGCGTCTGCCACCCCTCTCATTCCCAGCCACCGGCTCTGCCAAACCAAAAGTTTGGAGCTAATCCCCCCAGGTTCTTTTCTTCCCTGCCTTTAGAAATATATGTGTAGCCTTAACTTTAAAAAATTAATCCAGCATTTATTGGACTCTTCTTGTTTGCCAGGCCCTGTCCTGGGATTTGGAGGCACAGAGTGCAGAAGACAGAGTCCCTGCCTTGTGAAGCCCATTCTAGTGTGGAAGGAGAAACAGTGAACCAGGAAGTACAGTTGGCCCTTGAACAGCACAGGTGTGAACTGTGTGGGTCCACTTACATGCAGATTATTTCACTAGGAAATACTATGGTACTCCATGGTCTGCTGTTGGTTGAGCCCACAGATGGGAAACCTGAGATACGGAGGGCCCACTGTAAGTTATACTCAGGTTTTCAAGTGAGCGGATGGTGGGCTTTGGAAGGTGACTTGTCTCTGGGATGAGAAAGGGGCGTGACTGTTACCAGCTGGTGATTCCTGAACCGAGTACAGGGCTGGGCACATCAAAAACCGCAAGCATAAATATTTTTCAAGTCTTTAAAAATGCAGGTCATCCAGAGAAGGCACGGCAGAGCGTGGATCTTGAAGCCATGTTCTTCACCATCACCCTACACCAACTAAACTCTCAGAGCACAGCCTGATTCCTGAGCTCTGCTTCAAACCCCCGTGTACTCTGTACTCCAGAAAAGAAGCTGGAGCCTGTGTTGGAAATGATGAGTTAAGATGTGTACAGTGATGGGGGCTTGCTGGTTTACCCAGGGCAGGCATTGGTGAGGACTGAGCAGAGGCCTGAATGCAGTGAGGGGAGCCCTGGTGTGTCTTGGGGAAGGCTGAGGAAACAGCACGTCAGCAAGTAAGAAGACCTGATCGTAATGTTTGTGTTTGTTTTAGTTACTGTCGAGGGAGCTACTGTGACAAGAACCCAGGGAGCAAAGAGTGGGAATGGGAAGTGAGGATGAACCTGTACGCAGGAGTCAGTCGTGTCAGGCCTCATAGTCCATAGGAGAGCCTTCGAGTGTCACTCAGCGTGAAGCGAAGGCACACTGCATGTGGGATTGGACTCTGTGTGGTCATATCGGGGAAACTCTGGATTGAATGTGGTGTGGATTTTAAAAAGTGGTAGTGTTTCTGTGTGGGTATAGTGGTGAGAAGGGAGTTTTTATTTATTACATCTCATGTACTAGGCTGAGGGCTGCTGGGGACGCAAGCAGCCCCAGCTCACAGTGATACGTGTGGTCGTGGAACCATGGGTATGAACAGAGAGGTTCTTTTCATCCTCCTCCCTCTTGTCAACGAGGAAAATTTTTCCTGTACATTCCTTGGCTGACTTGTCCTTATGTCTTTCTGTCCAAAAAGAACTCGGTCACTGATTGGGCTAGTTAGGATTAAGGTTGGCTCTAGTAGTGTTAGTCACTCAGTCATGTCTGACTCTTTGCGACCTCATAGACTGTAGCCCGCCAGGCTCCTCTGTCCATAGGATTTTCCAGGCAAGAATAGTGGAGTGGGTAGCCATTCCCTTCTCTAGGGAATCTTCCTGACCCAGGGATTGAACCTGGGTCTCCCACATCATAGGCAGATTCTTTACTGTTTGAGCCACCAGGAAGCCAAGGTTGGCTGTAAATAATAGGAAGACTCTGAGTAAATGACACTTAAATGACTGACATCAGTAAGTCTGGTGGTAGTCCAAGCTGGGTGACACTGTAGGTGTTGGAGTCCCAGGTGCTCACACGTTGTTCTGTTTCTTCTCCATCCTGCCCTCCGCAGTCCCAGGTTACCCCAAGGCCCCAAGATGGTTGCTGAAGCCCCAGCTATCATAGGCCCATTCCAGACAGGGAAGGAAGGGTGAAGATGTGACCCCCATCTCCCGATAAGAGCACTTCTAGAAGTCACACACACTGTTCCCACTTGGATTTCACTGGCCAGACATTAGTCTCATGGTCACATCCAAATGCAAAAGTGATTTTAAAATACCTTTGCAGGGACTCACATGCACAGTTGGAAATCAGAAGTCCTACATGGCAGTATAGTCCAGTGCAGGAGCTCTTAACCTGGGGTCCCTCTGGCATTCAGGGCATGTCCATGACTGGATAAGAAAGAGAATATCAGGGAGCACCTGTGTGCTTCCCACTCAGATTTCACTGGCAGTTCATGTTACCGTATTTAGTTGTTTATGTGTTTCTGTAGGTCTCGCTCTATATACATTTAATGTTTGGCTAAAAAAAAAGACGTGGGGCTTGTGATACTTAATCTGGAGACCCTTTTGCCGCCAGGCAGGTGAGTGAGTGGACCACTTTAAGCCCAGGTGGTCCAGAGACCCAGTGACACTGTATGAAAAGTGAGGTGATTTTTTGAGGAGAGGCCACCATGGCATTTCTTCAGGCTGTCATCACTGTGGTTCCCAAAGAGAGTCTTAGCTCCTTCAACCGGAGGAGGTGCGGGGTCCCAGGCACTTGCTGCCCTCTTCAGTGCTGCATGGCCCGGGGATGAGCAGGCCAAGGGAGCCCTTGCTGCTCCCCCTTGGCCGTGCTCCCTTGTTCTGCTCCTCCTCTGGGGAGGAGTCCGGCTTGTGCTTGGGCTGGCGAGGCTGACTGGCTTACTCACCACTGGGGCGTCGCCTTGCACTCTTCACACAGGAACTCATGGCTGCAGCCCCGCTGTCAGGCTGGAGACAAGGAAGGGAGATTCCCAGGTGGCCAGGCCACCCGAGCAGCTGGGGTAGGGTCCTGGCCCACTCAGTGCTCCTTCAGGCAGCCGTCAGCACCCCAAGCCTGCCTCCACGCTTGTGGAAAGGTGCTGTTAGTCGTGCTCCCTGGGATGAGGGGATCAGATGAGGCCCTAACACTGACATACTGAGCTGAGGCCCACCTTGTGTCAGCAGAGGGTGCAATTTCCAGGGTGGCCACGACAAAGCCCTGCAGCTTAGGTGGCTGCAAACAACAGAAAGGGCTCTCTCTCAGTGCTCTGGAGGCCAAAAGTCCGAAATCAGGTGTTAGCTGTGCTGGTTCTTTCAGGAGGCTCTGTGCCTCTCCCCAGCTTCAGGCGGCTGCCAGCCGTTCTTGACAAATTCCTTGGCTTGGGACACAGCCTCAGCTCCCTCCCTTGTCTTCACACGGCCTTCTCCTCTGTGTCTCTTCGTCTTCTTTCCTGTCTCTTGTAAGTCACTACTGTTGGATTTCGGGCTTGTGTCTCTCCTTTCCTCTCACACCCCTCCCACACTTAGCACTTCTGACACCAGATGGCCTTCCCCCTTCCTGTTCAAGCAGTTCTTGGCAATACCAGCCGGATGTCCTACGATTAGCATTAAAGCAGGCCCTCCTCCGTGGATTTGATTATTTGCTAGAACAGCTCACAGAACTTGAGGAAACACTTGCATTTACCAGTTTGTTATGTAATAAAGGATGCAATAAAGAGTCTAGATGAACAGCCATGTGAAGAGATGCAGAGGGCGAGGTCAAGGGAACTTCTGTCCCCAGAGGTTAGGGTGCATCACCCTCATGGTATGTGGGGGTGCACCTCAAGCCCCATACTCTGAGGTTTCTTACAGAGGCTTCATCACTTGCACGTGACTGATCATCCGGTCAGTGTCCCTCTTGGGGGAATGGGGCTTGGGGCTGAAAGGTCCCAGTTTCTGAGTGTGGCTTGGTCTTCCTGGTGACCAGCCCCATCCAGGAGCCCACCCAGAGTCACCTCATTAGAACAAGAGACTTGCCCATCACCCAGGAAATTCCAAGGAATTTTGGGGCTCAGAATCAGGAACCAGAATCGAAAATCAAACATCAGAACAAGAGATGTTCCTTGTCTTCCTATCACTTAGGAAACTGCAGGGGTTTAGGAGCCAGGAACTGGGGGTAGACACACACTTTTCTAATGTTTCACAGGACCACCACCACCCCCTGCCCCAAATTCAGGATGATCTCGAGATGCTTACTTAATTACATTTGTATATTTCACATTTACCAGTACTGAGGGTTAGGACTGGGCCGTCCCTTTCTGCAATCACTGTTCAACCCCCCGTACTAGTGGAATTACTACTTCTAATGCTAGGCTTGTTTTTATAGCAGTGTCATTATAATATTGTTTGTTCTGTTATCATCACTGTTAGCCGCCGTCTACCATCTAAACCCATCACTGGGTTACGACCCCCGCTCTATGCCACAGAGCTCTGTGACTCTTAGAAGGGACTTTCACGCCCTGAGCCTGTTTCCTCTTCTGGGGTAGGGCCCATACCCTCTGCCTTCGGCTTGTCGTGAGAGCTAAATGAGACATGCAAGTGCGTGGTCTGCCTGGGACTGGGCCTTGAGTAAGCTGGGAACGTAGCCGCTGCTGTCAGGAGCACAAGATGGAGTGTGTGAGTGGTGTTGAGCCAAAGAGTGGGCACAGGTAGGAGGGTGGGGACCTTGGGCGTGCAGACACAGTGTCAGACAGAGTGACCCTGGAAAGTACTGAAGTGGGTGTTGGCTCAGTGAGACCCATCGGATGCTTTTGCTGAGGCTGCCGCTGTCATTTACAGCTCAAGGTCACAGAGTCACTTGGTAGGCTTGCATTACTCAGTACCCTACACGTGCTTAGCAAGGCTTCCAGCAGCTGACTGAGTCCAAAACTATCACTTTAAGTCTGGGCTTGCTAACTTTCTCCCTTCCTTTTCTTCTTCCCCTCATTAGCTTCGCCTCAACAGCATCAAGAAGCTGTCTACCATTGCCTTGGCCCTCGGGGTCGAAAGGACCCGCAGTGAGCTTCTGCCCTTTCTTACAGGTACAGTGGAGTCCTGGGGCCCATGTTGAGTGGGGGCTTCTTGGGGTGGTTCCTGCCAGATAGGAGAGGAACCTCTCTGAGGGTTTAATAGCTTGTAAGTGCCGTGTGCTGGGCGCTGGGGGCTGGTGCAGGGACTAATGGGAGGGATCTGAAGGCTGATGGAGCCTGGTTTGAATTGCAGCTCCAGTTGCTGGTGACTTTAGGTAAATTACTTAACTTTTCTGTTCCATAGAGTTTTTCATGTATAAAACAGGCATGGTCATCATGTGTTATAGCGTTGATGTGAACATTGAATAACAATAATAATAGCTAATACTTACTATATACCGACCATACACCACACAGTGTTCTGAACCCTTTCTTGTGAGAATTAAGTTTGTTCACCTAGATCTTGTGCTCTATGCCACTGTTGTCCAAGATTATCTCACAGTAACTTCTTAAGGCAGGTGAGACTCCTGCCGTCATTTTATAGATGAGGAAACTGAAGTATGGAGAGATGAAGTGACTTAATTGGCCGTGTGGTTTGAAAGTGACTCAGAGGGGATAATCTATCAAGTCATGCTGGCTCTGAACTTGACAGTATTGATGGTCTCTCTTCCCTAGCATCCCACACCTAATTACCCATTCCGGCCCCCCTACCTCTGCCCACCCAGGGGGAGGGTGGCTGCCAAGTTGAGGAAGCAGAGTGGAGCACGCTTGTTCCCGAGGGGGGCGGTCAGCTGTGGGGCGGAACTGTAACCTAGTCTGTCTTGTCCCGCAGACACCATCTACGATGAGGACGAGGTCCTCTTGGCCCTGGCGGAGCAGCTGGGCACCTTCACCACTCTGGTCGGAGGCCCCGAGTACGTGCACTGCCTGCTGGTGAGTCCAGAAGCCGGGGAGGGCCCCTGCCTGCCCCTGGGGGTTCATAACCAGGGTTCTCGCAGGGAGGGGAGAGTGCAGGCCAGGCTGGGGTCATCTTCTCTGAACAGAGGGGCCTTGATCATTAACTTTAACCCAGCAAGTCAGCAGTGGCATTTACTATATTTGAACGAAAACACACCCGTCTTCCTCACTGTTGACTGGGCGTGTCTGAGCAGTGCCAGGCTCCGCCTGGTCCTCTACGTGTGAGGTTTTCAGTTGGGAGTCAGGCTCCACTTACTTGCTGTGTGACTTGTAAGTCAGCTGATTTCTCTGTGCTGTCCTCTCCTCATATGTAGACAGGGAGTCCTTAGCATTTACATTGAGGATCACCTCAGGAAGCCTTAGTGCAGTACTTGGCATGTAGTGAGTGCTCACAGATGTCCGCTCCGTTGTCATCCTGCCCACCCTTCGGTGTAGGGACGGTCACACCGGCTGTGGCCATGCCACCCTGGACGCACCCGATCTTATTTCATCTCGGAAGCTAAGCAGGGGTCGGGCCTGCTTAGTACTTGGATGGGAAGAAGAAGACAGTCACACTGCTAGTGAGTGGCAGAGCTGGGATTCCAGGCTTGTCCCTGTGACTTTTCCTGTGTTCCTGTCCATGTGACCCTGTGTTGGGTGATGGCGGAGGTCAGAGATGGTCAGATACTGAGAGTAACGGCTCTTTGGGAAGAGGGAAGGGAGGAGGCGCTCCCGTCCTGTGGCCTGGGTTGAAAGAAGCTTGGAGGTTCTCAGTTTTCACTGTTCTCAGAGCCACCATTTTCCCCTTGTAATTCTTTCTTTCATGATCCCTAAAGATACATCTTCATACTTTGGCATTTGCACTTGATGGTGTTTTGTAGTTAGTCTGCAGGCTTGCTTTTAGTGGTATATGAATCATTGCCACCTTTTTAATGAGATTGTAAAAACTTTGTTCCTGATTTTTTTTTTATCATGGTGAGTTAGTAATAATTAGTTGCCATTATTAATAGTACCATTATTAGTAATAATGGTAGTAAATAGTTACCGTTATTAAAAAATAGTTACTGTTTTAGCCACTTTTTCCCCGTGACATTAAGTACATTCACACTGTGGTGCAGCCGTCACTACTGTTCATCTCCAGAACTTTCTCATCTTCCCCAAAGAAACTGTACTCATTAAGCAGTAACTCCCCAAGCTCCTTACCCCAGCTCCCACCAACCACCATTCCACTTTCTGTCTCTATGAGTTTGACTACAGACATACCTCAGAAATTGTGGGTTCAGTCCCAAACTACCGTAATAAAGAAAGTGAATGTTGTAATAAAATGAGTCACATGAGTGTTTTTGTTTCCCAGTACATATAAAAGTTATGATTACACTTTACTGTTGTCTGTTAAATGTGCAATAGCATTCTGTCGAAAAAAGATACATATCTTAGTTAAAAAATACTTTCTCATCAAAAAACACTAACCATCATCTAAGCCTTTAGCAAGTTGTAGTCTTTTTGCAGTAGTAACATCAAAGGTCACTGATCACAGATCATCATAATAAATACATTAATAATGAAAATGTTGGAAATATTTTGAGAATTACCAAAATGTGACACAGACTCAAAGTGAGCAAATGCTGTTGGAAAAGTTGATGTTGACAGACTTGTTGGACACAAGGTTGCCACACACCTTCAGTTTGTAAAACTCAGTACCTCACATAAGCATATATTCTGTAGTCTTTTGTGAAAGGCTTATTGTATTTAGTATAACGTCTTCAAGGAATTCATCCACGTTGAAGCATGTGTCAAATGAGATTTTATTCACATGTAAGGGCCTGCCTGGCCCTTTTGGCTGCTTTTGGAAAACTCCAGATTTGCTTTCCCTGGCCATGTCCCCCCGTGGCAGTTGACAGACCCGGAAGCGGGAGGCAGCTCTGCTCCCTGGCCTGGACGCTCTCCAGCCAGTCGCTGCCTCTGCCGTCCCTGCCTGTCGCCTTTGGCCGTCGCTGCAGTCAGTGACCTGCCTGGTCCCTGGAAACGTCTCCATTTATGATTTCATTCTGCTTTCTGTCCCTGTCAGGCCAGGTTGGACTTGAGACCACAAGCCTCCACCCACATCTTTATTTGAACATTAGGATAACAATTGAGTCTCGCTTTCAGTCAGTAATTCCTGCTCTGTGGTAAGAGGTCTGCTGGGCTCAAGGGACCCCATGGTGAGGCAGTCACAAGTCCCTAAAGGAACACGATCACTCCAGGCCTCACAGTAACAAGAGTCTTGAGCCCCAGGTTCCCCAGTATTGTGAGATCCTGGTGTGGTTGCCTGTCAGAAACCGCAGCTCTGCCTTTCAGCCCTTTGGAGGTTCTGGAGCCAGCTGGCCCGGTTTAGATCCTGGCTTATCGCTGTTACATCTCGAGCAGGTTAGCCTGGCTGTGCCTCAGTTTCCCCTTAGTTTAGAATGGAGACAGTAACAGGACCTGCTTCATAGGACTCAAGTGAGTTAGAACCAGCACCGCTAGAGCCATGGCCCTGCTAAGAACATGCAGTAAATAGACGCTGTCGTCAAAATCAGTGATTATTACTGCACTTGGAGATGCCAGGGACAGCTGTGGCCCTCTCAGAAGGTGACATGTACAGCTTGGGGGTTTGTAGACCCCACTGAAGTACCTCCAAGGACCTGTGCGTGAGGTTCTCTTTTGTGGTTCTTCAGGGAGGAGACACTGCGTGCATGCAGGCCTCTGCTGATCAGGGAAAGCCTGTCAGAGGAGCTGAGTCTCTGAGGGGGTGCAGCTGGGAGCTGGGGGGGGGGGGGCTGGGGAGGAGCCATGTGCTGACCTGTTCTCCCCGCAGCCGCCCCTGGAGTCGCTGGCCACGGTGGAGGAGACGGTGGTGCGGGACAAGGCGGTGGAATCCCTGCGGGCCATCTCCCACGAGCACTCCCCCTCCGACCTCGAGGCCCACTTCGTGCCCCTGGTGAAGCGGCTGGCGGGCGGCGACTGGTTCACCTCCCGCACCTCAGCCTGTGGCCTCTTCTCTGTCTGCTACCCCCGCGTGTCCAGTGCCGTCAAGGCGGAGCTTCGACAGTGAGTCCCCTGGCCTCTGGGCCCTGGCGAGACCCTGCCTCCCACTCCTGCTTGGTCCCCTTCTCTTGAGCCTCAGGCTCCGTTAGGCCCATCCAGCGCCCAGAAGCCCCCGAGCTCTGTCAGCCCTCAGAGAGCCAGTGTCTGGACACAGCTGGGTGTGAGTCCAGGCACTGCCTCCTGCTCAGTTAGGAAACGGAGACAGTGATGGTTCTTCCTCCCGTTGGTTATGTAAAAGAATTACTGTGTATAAAATGCTTAGGACAGACTCTGGTACATGTGGACGCTCAGCCAGTGACGTGTGGTGCAGTTGTAGGCCTGTCGGTGTGGCAGATGGGAGGCCGCCGCCTCCACCACCTCCACCACCTTCCTCCCTCTTGGCTGAACCCCAGCAAGTTACTTGCCCTTGAGATTTGGCCTGTGGAAGAACCAGTATTTTTATTGGATTTTAATGGATTAAAATCTCCCATTAATCTGTGTTTCTTCCCGTCCCTCCGAACTCCTGTCCTTCCGCCGTTGTCCTGAACCAGCCCCTGAGCCGTCACTCTGGCCAGGACAGCAGCGTGCAGCTGCTTGTGGGTGCTTGGAGGGCTGTGCTGGGCTCCTCGCGTCTCTTTAACTGGAAGCAGTTGGTACTGGAAAGGAAACACTGTGAGCAGCTTCAGTGCAGCCTCTTAGCTTAGCAGTTTTATGTGGTCATAATAATAGAATCAGCACCTGCAGTTCACTTCAGAGAGATGGCTGGGTGTCTCACATACGTCGTCTGGTTTAAACCTCAGTGGCCCAGTAGGGTGGGTTCTGTTATCAGTTCCTTTGTGTAGGGTTGGGGAGACTCAGAGGCTGTTACTTGGGTCAGGATCACCTGGGCAAAGCCAGGTGCTGCAGGACTGCCTGGGATTCCAGGGGTTCCTCCTCCTGAGCCCACTCTACCCACCCCCCAGGTACTTCCGGAACCTGTGCTCAGATGACACCCCCATGGTGCGGCGGGCCGCAGCCTCCAAGCTGGGGGAGTTTGCCAAGGTGCTGGAGCTGGACAACGTCAAGAGCGAGATCATCCCCATGTTCTCCAACCTAGCCTCTGACGAGCAGGTGGGGCCGCCTGCCCGCCCCCTCCTGCTGCTCCCCGTGGCGGACCCGAGTCTGGGGAGGAGGCCTGGGGCTGATGGGGCCTCTGCTGACCCCTCCTTGTTCCCACCCTCTCCCTAGGACTCGGTGCGGCTGCTAGCGGTGGAGGCATGTGTGAACATTGCCCAGCTCCTGCCCCAGGAGGACCTGGAGGCCCTGGTGATGCCCACCCTGCGCCAGGCTGCTGAGGACAAGTCCTGGCGCGTCCGTTACATGGTGGCCGACAAGTTCACAGAGGTGCGTGCGGGGGCTGTAGACAGCATCTCACAGATTGGGAGATGGAGGCCTCGGGAAGGAGTGGAGTCACATAGAGGACCTGGGGTTTAGTGAAGCCCAGTGGGTCATCCGGGCATTGAAGCAGGAAGCTCTCTGTTGTCATTTGATTAGCTCACCTGTCAACCCTGGTTGGTTGATAGCGGCAGCTTGAAGTGCTTCCTTGAGGTTTCTGAGGCCAACTTAAGGTGCTGTAGCGGGGAGCCACAGGAGCAGAGAAGGGTGGCATGTGTGTGTTCCCAACCTACGAACCTTGTCTCCTTTCACAGAGACGTCTTTCCTTGGCCATGGACGGCCTTCTTCTCCCTGTACCTTGCCTGTGTGCTGTGTTCTCATCTCTTCTTGCAAGCACTTTAGACACTTTAGCTTAGAGCTCACCCTAATGACCTTCTTTTACCCTGTTACCTCTCTGAAGACCCTGTGGCCAAGTACAGTCACATTCTGAGGTCCTGGGGTGGGGAGTTAGGACGTCAGTGTGTGAATTTCAGGGGTGGAGGGATACAATCGAGCCCCCAGACACGGCCCAAACGTTTGATCGGTCAGAGCAATGCTGTCAAGCAGGCAGAACAGATGCCATGTCTCTGAGGACAGTGCTCTTTCCATGAGTCTCAGTGGCTTATCGCACAGACGTGTTTGTCGGGCTCCAGCTCATGGCTGGGTGTTGGGGATCCAGTAATTCAGCACATTCCTGGCCTTCAAGGAGCAGGCAGCCTGAAGAGGGGACAGTCAGCTGAGACAGAGGAAAGGTAGTGAGACCGTGACTGGTGCAGGGCTGGCCGGTGGGTGTGGGTGTGGAAGCGCCGAGACGAGGAGGTGGTGCTGCAGCAGGTTCTGGGGGACAAGAGAGAGCGCTGGGGCAGGACCTGTGTCCCGTGTGTGCAGAGGGCCTGGGTGGTGAGAGGAGCACAGGCAAGAACGTTGGGCAGTGGCTCTCAGCGGGAGAGGAAACTGGAGAGGTGGGCAGCAGGCCCTCCTCCTCGCAGTCAGGAACTACCCTGCTCCCCCAGGTCGTCACGAAGCAGCTTCACAGCAGAACCTGTGCGTTATTCTTTGTCTTATTTCCTGGAGGTGGGGAGGGGGTGGTACCCTAACCTGTATTGTTTTGTTTTAATTGCAAAAGTAATACGGACACTGGTAAACAGTCTTAACACAGAAATAATACAAATGAGAAAGTGACAGGGATCATACATCATTAGACTCTTTTGGGATCAGGGACAGAAAACCCAACCCGAGTAACCTGAACAGTAAGGCGATCTGTCGTTTTAGTGCAGACAGCAGTACTTTGCAGTAGGTACCCTCATGGTTTGAGGAAGCAGAGGCTCAGAGAGGTGCAAGCAGTCATCCAAGGTCACACAGATGATAAGCAAGAGTAAGAACTTGAGCCAGGCAGTTGACTCCAGGGCCACACTTGTGACCACTGCCCTGCCCAGCCCCTCAGCACCATATACAGTTCATCACTGCACAACAGGGAAACCGAGCCTTGGAGAGGCTCTGAGACGTGGCTGAGGCCGCCCCTACGGCACCCACGTTACATCTCAGCAGTGACACCAAGGGCTGTTGTTGCCTCAGTCCAGGTGCCTTGAACTTTGATTTTGTTCTCATTCACCGAAGGTACCCAGCAAGCCCTCTCACTCCCCCTGCCCTTCCTTCCCTTCCTGCAGCTCCAGAAAGCGGTGGGGCCTGAGATCACTAAGACGGACCTGGTCCCTGCCTTCCAGAACCTGATGAAAGACTGTGAGGCTGAGGTGAGGGCCGCCGCCTCCCACAAGGTCAAAGGTTGGTGCTGGCGACCAGAACACAGCAAGCGGGTGTGCGGGTGGTGGGGCGAGTGTCCAAGGGGCTGCAGGCAGAACGGGCACATCGGGTCTCACCTCCCACTGCCTCCCTCTCGCTGCCCACAGAATTCTGTGAAAATCTCTCCGCTGACTGTCGGGAGAATGTGATCATGACCCAGATCTTGCCCTGCATCAAGGTAACGGAGTTTGGTGGGAGTAGAGCACGCCTGAACTTTCTGGAAGGAAGGGTGGACATAGGGCTTGAGGGGCAGCCGGATGCAGACCGAGTTCCCAGCCTCCTCAGACCAGGCGGTGTCAGGTTTAGAGCAGTCAGGAAGCCTGAGGGCAGGCGGAATCTGAGGCTCCGGGCTGAGCGTGGTGGTGGGGTGCTTCCTCCTCAGAGCTCACAGCGTCTCCTCATCCACAGAGCTTTGAGTTTGGGGCAGAGGTTCCTGGGGGCAGGGGTCGTTGAACTCTAGGCACGCCGAACAGGTAAGGCGCTCTAGTTCCCCTCGGGCACTCAGCCTGGATCGAGAGGACAAAAGCAAGCAGTGTCTCGGGGCTTCGTAGGAGTGGAGTCTCTGCAGCCACTGACCCTATGGCTCCTGTCTTCCTTCTCCCTCCCAGGAGCTGGTGTCCGACGCCAACCAGCACGTCAAGTCGGCGCTGGCCTCCGTCATCATGGGCCTCTCTCCGATCCTGGGCAAAGACAACACCATCGAGCACCTGCTGCCGCTCTTCCTGGCCCAGCTGAAGGATGAGGTACGGGCGCTGGGGTGGGGAAGGGGCTCTGCACGCTGGCCCAGCGGAAGGATAATGTATGGGCGCCGGGGGGGTGGGCTCTGCACGTGGCCATAGCGGATGGGGCAGCTGCTCCCCAGGTTCACCAGCACCTTCAGCAAACGTCCAGGTCACCAGGGAGTTGAGTGTCTCTGGGTATGGTGGGCTGCATGTTAGCCCATTGGTTTATTTGGCATTTGTTTCACATGCCTTTATTCTGTACTAGTCTTTTTCCTGGGCATTAGGGATACTGAGCAAAAAAAGGAACAAGGCATTTGATCCTCCAGGACCTTCAGAGAGTGGCAGTGGCGAGGGACAGATGGGTGGTCCCTTGACTCCCTGAGCATACAGGTGCTGTGACAAGTTCATGTCTATCCGAGTTCAGGCTAAGGTGCTTACTAGGGACCCCAAAGTGCTGTGGATTAAAGAAGGTAGAGAATCGTTTCTCTCTGAGCAACCTAGGGGCGGGGTGGACTGACACTGAGGGGCTTGTCCCTGCTGACCCCCGCGCCCTGTGGGTCTGAGGTGGCTGCGCTAATTTGTTCTGTCTCAGCCGTTGTGAAGGGAGGGCACCAACCAGCAGCAGGCCAGTCCTCTCAGTCAGACCCCAGAGGGTGCCCGTCCTGTCTGCTGATGGCTGACCTCAGGTTACAGGTCTCCAGCCTCCATGGAGGTCAAGTTGATGCCACATGGCCCAAGGTCCTCACCACAAGTCACATTATTAGCATGATCTTTTTGGCATGGCCCAGGGCCCTTTTTTATTTCAGATACTTAGAGATCATCTTCCAGAAGCTGGTGGGGGGCCAGTCCTCTGGAATGTGCCAAGTTTGAACAACCTAGCCCTGTCCAGTTAATAATCCTTTACCGCGCACTTGATTATTTGCTTCATTGATTTATTTCAGCGCATGCCTCTTCACCCCACAGCTCCCAGAGGGAGATGCAGGAAAAACTGACTGTGGTCTCTGCCATCCAGGAATATATGATGTTGGACAAGGAATTGATTGTATTTATGTGCCTTTTCTTAGAAGTCGCTTCAGAGATTTTTGGAAGCAGATGGGGATATAGATTCCCCCTCTTTGCTAAGATAGAGCACTACTATAAACCTGTCATAGGTCGAAATGGTGTAGAGTGAAGCAGCAGTTTTTTTCTTTTGTAAAAGCAAAAATCCTGTTTGGGTTTCTTTTGGTTAGTGAAAGCAGGAACTAGTGTAGGTCTTTCAGAGTGGTGTGAAGTTAACTTTGGAAAAATAGGGGCTAGCTGTGTACATGTGCATGTGTGTTTGTGTGTGTTAGTCACCCAGTCGTGTCTGACTTTGCAACCCCATGGGCTGTAGCCCACCAGGCTCCTTTGTCCATGGAATTCTCCAGGCAGGAATAGTGGAGTGGGTAGCCATTCCCTTCTCCAGGGGATCTTCCCGACCCAGGGATCAAACCCGGGTCTCCTGCATTGTAGGTGGATTCTTTACCATCGGAGCCACCAGGGAAGCCCATACATGCATGTAATGTAAGTCAGAGCCTTGCCCTGGGCTCCATGTGCAGTGCATCTTCTCAGACCCCTCCTGTCCTCTTCTCAGTGCCCGGAGGTGCGACTGAACATCATCTCCAACCTGGACTGCGTGAACGAGGTGATCGGCATCCGGCAGCTGTCGCAGTCCCTGCTCCCTGCCATCGTGGAGCTGGCGGAGGATGCCAAGTGGCGGGTGCGGCTAGCCATCATTGAGTACATGCCTCTGCTGGCGGGACAGCTGGTGAGAGTGCAGGCCTGGGGGCTGTGCCGGGGGCCCTGAGGGCCCTGAGGGCCCAGTGGAAGGTGTGAGGGCTGTCAGGGGAGTCAAGGGGAGAGACGGGAAGAGAGCCCGTCAGGTGAAGTGGAACAGTGCCCGGCTTTTTGCGGGCGGTGTGTGGTTTCCCTGGGCTTCGCCAGAATTGCCCAGTCTCGACTCTGATCTGTCTCCTCGTCTCCTGCAGGGGGTGGAGTTCTTTGATGAGAAGCTCAACTCCTTGTGCATGGCCTGGCTTGTGGATCATGGTGAGCACCTCCCCAGGACCTCTGGGTGGAGACTGGGGCTCCAGAAGGGTGCGGGGCGGGTTGATTGGGGCAGGTGGGGGGAGTGGGCGTCATCACCCCACTGCTGTCAGGTGCAAGGAGCAGCTCCCTTGCTGTCTGGATTCCCACAGGAGGGCAGGGTAGGAGGTGGATGTATCAGGTCACCCGCGGCTGCCAGGTCCAGTGGAGACTCTGAGGGTCACCCGGCAGAGAGTCTGAGTTTGAATCCCACTTCCTGGCTGTCAAAGCTTAAGCACGTCACTTGCCACCTTTGAGCCCACACTCTGTGAAACATAGGGTGCCTCATCCTAGTCTTTGAAGGCCATTGTGAGAACTGTGCATTGTTTTCACTAGGAGTGGCAAAAATAAAAGTTAGCATTTGTCTGTAACAGGCTCCATTCCGTGTACTAAGTTGTTCACTTGGGCAAATTCAGAACCTCAGCCTGCCTGTCTGTGCCTTGGAGCTGTTGAGAAGGTGCTCTGTGAAGAAAACCCTACATCCAGCGCACATGGCCCTCTCTTTCTCTGCGAGTTTATGGGTTTTCGCAGTTTATGTGGCCCGTTTCCTGGGGCTGCTCTGCAGGCGGGAGTGAGTGTGACTGTGACTCCCCACCTGCATCAGCCCTTCACCTCCTGAGTCTCCCTGCCTCCCTCCTCCTTCCACAGTCTACGCCATCCGCGAGGCGGCCACCAGCAACCTGAAGAAGCTGGTGGAGAAGTTCGGAAAGGAGTGGGCCCATGCTACTATCATCCCCAAGGTCTTGGCCATGTCTGGGGACCCCAACTACCTGCACCGCATGACTACACTCTTCTGTATCAATGTGAGCACGCCCACCGGCCCCCACTGTCCCTGGGGGAGGGGAAGTAGGTGGGAGAGGAGGAATGGAGAAGGTCCTTGGGAGAAACCTGGCTTGGGATTTGGGGCCGTAGGGGTGAGTCCTTGGGGAGCTGCAGGCCAGAGCTTGGGGCTCCTTGGTCAGAGTCACAGGGCCTTTGCGGGTGGGGGCCTGCATTGGGGAGACTTGGGACTAGGGAGATTTGCCCGGCAGAACAGTGATGGCCAGGTCTGTCTGAGCACCCCACTCCTTTCCCATAAAGTGTATAATATTTATGATATAATGGGTAATGTACAGTTTCTAGAATCAGACCTACTGTTTAATTCTAGCTCTGCCATATATTGATTGTGCACCTTGAGAAAATTACCTTACTTCTTACTGCCTCAGTTTTCTCACCTGTAAAGGGTTCATACCAGTCATCACAGCCCCAGACTCCTGAGGCTGTGAGATTAATCTGGTTATACAACTTAGAACAGTTGTTAATATGTAATGTATATATAGTGTGTGTGTAATATGTATATGTGTGATAAATACAGTAGAAAGTGCTTGTATCTAGTCAGTTAAATAAACCGTACACGTAACTACGAATTAAAGAATGAGATTTAAAAGTTAGCATAAAATTGTTCTGATAATCCCTTCCTGTGCATCACTCTGGAGACCATGGCACTAAGGAAGCACTCCCAGGGTGAGGAGTCTAGTCCCATCCCCAGGGATGAGGGAGAATCTGAGGAGGGAGCTGGGATGGGACAGTGTGAGCTGGGGGTTTTCAGGGCAGGGAGTTGATAGAGTCAGGAGGGTGTTAGGGGACCTGGGAACTTGCGGAGAATCAAGGCCCTCAGGGTGGGCGAGTCTGAACTCAGAGTCCCCCTGATGCTCAGCTAGCTTCACCCTCAAGCCTGATGGCTGCTAAGTGTCCTGGTCAGAGGGAGCGAGGACTCTGGGGAGTCACCCTCTGCCACTCCCTGGCCTGCAGGTGCTGTCCGAGGTCTGTGGGCAGGACATCACCACCAAGCACATGCTGCCCACTGTGCTGCGCATGGCCGGGGACCCTGTCGCCAATGTCCGCTTCAACGTGGCCAAGTCCCTGCAGAAGATAGGGCCCATCCTGGACAACAGGTGAGGCCTGCCCCTCCTCCACACACGATTGCATTTGAATCAACTTCAAACATCGATCAAGGGGGACGCAGGTGATAGAAGTGAGAATGGTGGTTATTTTTGGGGGAAGGGCCTTGTGACACCTGCACCTCTGTCTGTCCAGGACACAGCTTCACCCCTTAGTTTCTCTCTGAAGGCCGCCTTCGTCCCCCAAACAGTTGACTGCCGCTGCAGAAACATTTCCCTCGGCCCTTTCCTCCCTGGGCCCCTGTAGGGCCGAGTCCCTCCCTTGGTCACTCACCTGTCCTGTTATTTGTTGGCAGTTTGATCTGCCTTCTCCCAGCCCGGGCTCCATGTGGGTGAGAATCAGGAGGGTTGGGTTTTCTGCTGTGTCCACACCTGATGGGCCGTAGACCTCAGTAGATAATGTTACACAAATGCAAGGCGTCACGTGGCCGAGGCTCAGAGACTTGAGGGTTCCGGGTTCTCTGCCCAACTTTTCCACACCACCTCACCTCCCTGTAGCTATTCTGGGCCCCCGAGGCCTCTGTCCTTGTTTGTGCGATTTCCAGCCTTCTGAGTAATGGTTGCTCTGGCCCCTGAGAGCTTTTATTCACGTGTGTGTCTGCGTCTGTGCACAGACACCCAGCAGCCCCGCTTGCCTGACCCCTCGCCTTCCCCTTCTCTCCCCAGCACGCTGCAGAGCGAGGTCAAGCCCATCCTCGAGAAGCTGACCCAGGACCAGGATGTGGACGTCAAGTACTTCGCCCAGGAGGCTCTGACTGGTGAGGCGTCAGGAATCTGAGAAGCCAGCGGCAGGGGGTGGGGGTCTGCGAGGGCGGCACTTGGCCTGGGAGCTGCTGTGGGCAGTGGGCTGGCTGCCTTCTGACTCCCGCTTCTTCCTGTTCCCCCAGTTCTGTCTCTCGCCTGATGCTGGAAGAGGAGCCTCCGTCGGCCTCCGGTGTCCACCCTCCCCCGCCAGGCCCCTCCCTCGGGGGGACAGTGGGGGGCCCTTGGCTGTCACTCCCTGTGCATGGTCTGACCCCAGGTCCCTCCCCCGGCACGGTTCCTCCCTCAGCCCGGGACTCCAGCTCCTCACGTCCGCCCCGCACGGGGCTGGGGGCGCACAGGGCGGGACAGAGCAGAGACCCGGGAGGAAGGGGCTGCTCCCGCCCGCTGGGGGAGAGACGCTAGCGTCCCAGGTCGCCGGCTCCTGCTGCTGTTGTGGGGACCCCTCCCCCATCTCCACCTCCCTCCCTTCCTCTCGGTGGTTTTTTTGTGTCAGTTGTGCCATTTTTATTTTATTCCCTTTCCCCCTTTTCACAGAGAAATAAAGGTCTAGAAATAGCTGGTCCTCTGGTCTTCGTCACTAGGTGGAGAAGAGGGCACACCTCAGGGCCCCAGCCTTGCGCTTCTGTCTGGCGAGGACTGACTGGACTTGCCACACCCCCTGTGCTGCGAGTGAGGAAAGTGCTCTGGGAAGCCCATGGGAGTGCCCCTGGCCCCAGGGGCCAGCGGAGTCCTAAGGTGCACTTGCTGAGTGTGTGGTGGTGGTTAGGGCAGGTGCCTTGACGCCAGACTGCCTGCATCCAGATCCTTCTTCCTTCCGTTAATAGCTGTGTGGCCTTGAGCAGCTTGCCCGGTCTCAGATTGCAAGACTGTAAAATGGGGGTAAGAGTAGAATCTAGATCTAGCGGAGCAGGAATGAAGACTTAGGTGAGTTAATACACACAGAGTGGGTAATAATGTCTGACACATGAGAGGAGCAGGCCAGGAGCTCTCAGGGTCATCAGGGCTGCGACAGGGAGCAGGCTGGGGACTGTGGCTAGACAGAACCAGTTCTCTCTCAGCGTGTTCTTCTGTTTCTTTAGTACTGATTAGACACCCGTATTTTAAGTTGGGCATATGGCTGCCTGGATTCAAGGCATTTTCCCAGGGCCTCTTGAAATTTGGGGTGACATTGCAGCTAAATCCGGACATGTGAACAGAAGTGACATGGGCAGCTTCTAGAAAGCGTTCCTAATGGGGAAATAATGCTTCCCCCTCATTCCTGTGCTCTGGAATGTGGACCTGATGGCAGGAATGGGTGCAGCCATCCCAGGCCAGGAAGTGGTCTCAGAAGTGCAGGCCCAGCAAGGCAGCAGGACAAGACGGGCGGAGCCCAGGGTTCCTGATGCTGTTGAGGCCCACATGGGTTACCTGTCACCTGGGAGAGTTAAACATATAAGTGACTTTGGGGTTTCATCACTTGGCAAGTCACCCAGATTTTAACTGATGCAGGTGCCAAAGAGCCCTGGGAAGGAGCAACAGACGACGCAGATGGTGTGTGTAAGGTTTCATGGAGGATGTGACACCCGAGTGAAATCTGGCCTTGCAGGGTGGCGGGGACCTTGGCGTTTGGTGGCAGGTTGCTTTCACCAGCTCAGCTCTCGTGTTACTGAGTCCCTGCTGTTTGTTAGAGCAGATCAAACCCTGGGGGATGAGGGTGAAGGAGACCCTCTTCTTCATTATGCTAGCTGACTTTCATTTCCTAAGGACAGGGCCTGTGGTTTAACCTCAGCCTAATGCTCTCCGCACCCCGCTGCCTCACACACACATACATGTGCCTTCCTGAATGTAAATACTTGAAGGACTGAGTGAGTGAGGAGTTAATGGGGTGGGGACATGAGTAGTGTAATCACTTGCAGCACGATGTTGAATGTTCTGACTTAGCCAGCAGCCTGCCAATAATGAATGACCCGTGGTGTCCCACTTACATTTTCCTGCCTTTCAACCCATCCCCCAACACTTAGTGACTTAAAACAGTGAAACGTATCATCCCTCATCATTCTGCAGTCTGGGCTTGGCTCATCGGGAAGGTTCTGCTCCGTGTGGTGTCTGCTGGGGCTGCAACGTTCAAGGTGACTTCTTCACTCTTGTGACATTCAAAGTGACTTCTCACTCCCGAGTCTGGTCCTCAGCCAAGGCCTGGTGTATCTTCTGGCATTTGGCTGCTCCAGGGTAGCTGGACCTCTTTATTCAATGGTTCTAGAGCAGTTTCTAAGAGAACAAGTTGCAGTTTCCAAGTGCCTTTTAAACCTCTGCTGGTCTCACAGGCCAAGTCAAGTCACATGGCCAAGCCCGAGTCAGTGTGGGAGGGGCTGCTCAAGATGTGAGCGCTGAGTGTGGTCCTTTGCAGACTGCTGATGTAACAGTCCTCAGATGTGTGTTCCAGAGATAGCTGAGCTCCACTGCTGATGCGCAGAGGCATCGAGAGCATAAGGAGATGAGGCTGACTCCAGGGCGTGTATTTTGGAGTGAGCTGAAGATGGAAGCTTTAGCCTGGAAGGCAGAAGAAATCGCAGGGGGTTTTGGCAAAGTAGTGACAGCATCCGAATTGAAGGGCAGGATGAGGCTAAGAAACCTGAGAGAATTCTGGTCTAAGTGAGGTGGAGTAGGTGGAGTGAGGGAAGTGGCAGGTAATGAGGGTGATGAGATTCACAAGGAGGCATATTGGGACTTGGTGACACCTGGATTAGGGGAGTAAAGGAAAGGATGCAGTCACATTGGCACCCAGGATTCAGATCTTCCCAGTCTCAGCAACAACCACTCCCTGAGAAACGTTCTTGGTTCCTGCAAACCCACACATGCTTCAGCATCTCCAGTCTTTTGCCTGTAATGTGAACCTCTACCTGGAAGGTCTGCCTTCTCATTTGTCAGGGGAACAAGTAACTTGGTGTTCAGAGTGGGAAAGTGAGACTGAGCGGCACAGTGAGCGTGGAGGAGTAAGAGTGTAGAGGTCAGATCCTGAGGAGCCTATAAATAGCAGGGTGAGGAGCTTGAACTTTCCCTGAGGGACAGACACCAGTAAGACTTGGGGAGATCTTTCCAGGGTCGACAAAGCCTGCAGCCAGGGAAGAGGCTGGGATGATGGTCCTGGAGGTGAAGACCTCAGCTGGGCAGTGGTCGAGGACAGAGGGCAGAGGGATCGAGGAAGTGGACTTGATGCCACTTCCCCTTTCCAAACCCACAAGAAATTACACAAAGAGCAGCCGGAAGGAAGGCCCGTCTCTCCTGTCCCTGGTTCTCATCAGAATATCCAAAGTCTCAGCACACGCCTGTCATCAGTCCTCCCCTTCCCAGCTGTGTATTCCAGATGGAAGAACAGCCCCAGAGTGTGTTGGGCGTGTGATGTGTGCTCTTATAGAGCGACCAGACCAGAACTCCACAAATCTCCCAGAGGAAAGAAAATGCCTCAGTTTCCTCTGGTAGTTTAAGATCCTCTTCAGCCCAGTCAAAGACAGAAGCTGGCCCTACAAGTTAGATGAGGACAAGTGGGCCATGGCTGGCTTAGTAGCACTGCAGGAGCTGAAATGCACATTGTAGAAATTCTTTTATATGAATCACTGGGGGCAGAACCTGATCTGACCTGAACTGCTCTCTTGACAAAAGCTAACCAAGACTGCAATGTAGAGTTTTATCCCTTTTCTGTGGAATAGAAAGTACAGCAGAAATGTCCTTGTGTTTGGAATACATCGAATATACTGAATTAATAATAAAAACCACCCACAAAGAGAAGCACAGGCCCCGATGGTTTCACTGAGTTCTACCAAAACATTTGCAGAATTAATAACCAGTTCTTCTCAAACTCTTCCAAAAACAGAAGGGGAGGAAGCACTTCCCAGCTTACTTTGAGGCCAATATTGCCCTGATAGCTAAAGCCAGACAAAAACACCAAAAGGAAAGAAATCTACAGAGTATTTATCTCTTAGAAACATAGATAGAAAAATGCTGACAACCCGAATTTAGCAGCATATAAAAAGAATTGTATACCATGACCAAATGTAATTTATCTCAAACATTAAAGGTTAGTTTAATGTCAAGAAAGTCAATGTAATATACCATGAATCAGTAGAATAAAATGCAGGGAGAACCACATGATCATCTCAATTGATGCAGGAAAAGCATCTGGCAAAATCTAACCCCTTTTTGTGATTAAAAACACTCAAACTAGGAATAGAAGGGAACCTTCTTAAATTGATAAAAGGCATCTCCCAAACCGCACAGTTAACAATACTTAGAGATTGAGTGTTTTCCACATAAGATCAGGAATAAAATATTCTTGCCACTTCAGCAGACGATACTGGAAGTTTTAGCCAGAATATTTAGTCAAGGAAAAGCAAAGGCTTGCAGATTGGAAAGGAAGAAGTAAAACTATTTGCAGGTGACATGATCTTATACATAAGAAATCCTAACAAATCCACTAAGAAAAAAAAGCTACCTGTGTTTGGGCTTCCCAGGTGGTGCTAGTGGTAAAGAATCCACCTACCAATGCAGAAGACTTAAGAGATGTGGGTTTGATCCTGGGTCAGCCAGATCCCCTGGAGAAGGAAATGGGAACCCACTCCAGTATTCTTGCCTGGAAAACTGCACAGGCAGAGGAGCCTGGCGGGATACAGTCCATGGGGCCGCAGAGAGTCGGTCACAACTCAGCACAGCACAGCAGCAAATATGTTTAGCAAGACGGCAGGATACAGGATCAACATGAAAATCATTTGTATTATTGCAGATGATATTGCAGGTGTTTGGTGAGGATGTGGGAGTGCTGGAATCCTCATACTGCTGATGAGGATGTAAAATGGTGCACCCCACTTCGGAAAACATTACCAAGCCAATTCCACTGCTAGGCATATTCCTGAGGGAACTGCAAACATGGCCACTCAAGAGCTTGTACACAAATATCGGTAAGATTGTTCACAAGTCAAAATGTGGAACCCGTGCAAATGTTTATCAACTGATGAATGGGTAAATGTATCTATATAATGG